ATCCACATGATTGTCATGACGGGCAGTAGGAGGATGGTCATCTCTTTCCAGCGACCTTGCTGATACTTGGCAGGAAGTTGGAATCCGGCTATGACGAGCTGCACGCCAATCACGATGCGGCACATGCCCTTCAGTATGCTCAGCAAGGTTCAATCTCAAGCTTTGCATCATTTGTGCTTACCAGCGTGATGGCCTCCTGCTGACCCTCTGCAGCAGAACCCCATTTCTCGGCGTCCAGGAATCTAGCAGCTATCGGCCCTAGGATGATACCGACCAGAACCGCAGGCACTGCAAAGAATCAGTGAGGGTTTCTCGAGCTGTCAAAGACTGGTTACTTACATGCTTCACCCAAGTACCAGACTTGCTTGATCTTGACTGAAAGGAAGCCATAGCAAATGATGAAGGTACCCAGAATGGCAACGACAATGTTGAGCTCGCTAACATCGAGAGTAGGCATCGTGGAAATTCCGGATACCCGGAGTACGGAAAAGACGGAAGGAGATGTTTAACAAGGATGCATGCGCCGAAGGAACAGCCAACAAGGTTAAGAAAAGGGAGGAATAAAGAAGAACGAAGACGACCAGCGAGAGCAAGAAACTGTAAACGGCAGACCAGCTGTATTTACAAGACGATTAAACTGATATAAGCAAGTACAAAAGTTATGGAGAATGAGGGATTTCCGGGACTGGCTCGGAGAGAATAGTGAGCGCAGTGATAGTCGCGAATGCCAGCCTCGATTCCAAGTTCTTGGGTGCCACGCCTTATTACTTCATATCTTTACACGCGTCACGGACACAATGCACTTAGTTGACTTGAAACAGCAGCCGCCAGGACATTCTTGGCTTAGCAGCCACTCCCGCCATTAGGAGGCTTACAACCGAAGCCAAGCGGTGAATTGACTATCGCGGGTGGAGCCAAGGTCAGCTGTAGCGCTAGCTTCGAACACGGCTTGTGGGACTTTCCGCCTTAAGGCTCAATTCAACCCTGTGTGTTACACCTGTGGACATAGAGGAAACAATCTAGGTTGAGACATGAAGACAGTGTTGTGACAGGCTGACCTTGCCTGCCGTGATAAGCGTAAATGAGGAACACTGAATAGCACAGATTCTTTTGTCCGTTTGTGTGGACTGCGGCTCGGCAAGCGTCTCAACAAGACAACGTTAACATGGCTTCTCGGCTCTGGGAGAAATTGGTGGCCCTGAAAGGTTTCTCTGCCAAGTCCGCCAAGTCCGCCGCGCTAGATCCAGAAAAACCCCGCTTGGCGATGAAGCGACATCCAGTAGTGATGATGTGCAATGCCTCAAGCCAGGTGAAGAACCTCCCCGTAGATCCCTGTCCTGAAGCTGTGGCATTTTGATCGACACAAGGCTTGGAGACGCGTCCGCTCGGGCGTAAGCGGTATTCGTAACCTATCGAGGCTGCAAGAGATTGTGAGCGTCGCCTGGTGTTGTCGTTTTCTTGATGACGCGCGATAAGCCCAGCCAGAAGAAGCACTCAAATCTGTTGGCAGAAGCCGGCAGTACCTGTGTCTATTGGTCACCATAGTACACATCGGGCGGGTCGTGATCGCTCAACGCGGATAGTGGCCCAATGTACACGAAGGTACAGCCAAGTGCTCGAATATCAGCAAGTGATCTGTGATACCAGGACTGTCTGGTGTAGTTGGGCAGTGGCAGATTGTGGTTCGTACTGCGAAGCATCTATTGCCGTATTGCCGAGTTGTCCAGACAGCATAGCGATAGCACCCAGCCACTTTCGAGACGGCTGTCTGAAGCCGTTGGTGGATAAAATTCCGCAAACTTATTATCCTGACGAAACCCCTTAAACATAGTACCCACGCGGGGAAGTGACGCGGTTCAACATCTGGATGGAGCACTGTTTTGCTGTGCTGTCAGTGTAGGACGCTTTTCCAATTGCGTCAATCCCACCAAAGTCGATACGCCACTTGCGAGAAGATCGTATACACTCTTTAGCACTCGATTGGGTTTGTTCTTAGATATGTTTCGCGTGGTGTGTCCTGCAGCTACTCGATCATGCTGCTGCACAAGCCGGGTGTCTGGTGTGACGAATATGGCCTTCGGAAACTATGTAATTTTTCATGTCTCCCTACGAGCAAGTATTGCCCTCATCGTCAGGAGCGCGTGGTTGCCGATGCTGTCGAAAGAAGGTGCATGTGAGAGCAGCTCGAATGGTGGCCGGAATGGTAGCCGTAATCTCAGAAGCTATGACGACATACCGGTATCGCTCAAGTGGGCCCACGTTCAGCTCTACCTCATCCTCCCTCCAACTGTTCAAAGGCTTCCAGCCGCCCATGTCAGCCTTTTGCTCTCTTTGCCGTCTCAGCTAACTCTCACTTCGCCAGTTGACTTACCATCATCGGTATTACAGTTGTGCTGCAGAGTATGTTGTTCCTGTGTGCTGATGGGCACTATTCCATAATAGGAGATAAAGAGGTGCATATGAACCTCATGTAAGGCGTCCCAGGCGATGAGCGGGGCTGAGCAAGGCATACGGCCGAATATTTTCAACATAATGCCAAATAAACAGATGTACTTATACGGCCCGCACCAGCACCCATTCTGGGTAACCAAAATTCACACACATCATGTCCACTGCTACTACTGCGTTTATTCCAGCCCAACACGTTGTGTCTACGAGCTCTAAAGCCTCCGCCGACATGCCCGTAGTACCGAAAACAGCATCAGAAGAATCTGACAAGCCTACCATGCCTCTTTCATCTCATGGCTTCACCCTTCAAGTGGACTTTGCTTGGTCAAAATTTCGCAACATAGTCGCTTCTAGGGGCGCTGGTGGAGAGCTCACGCCACTCTACATACAACATTTCCGTCCTGCAAAGCCTCAATTGCGCTTTGAGCGTGCAGCAGATCACACGAACATCGCCAAAGGCACTATTCACAATTTCTCGATCAGCGGAGACTGTGTAGTTCATGGCCGGGAAATAATCCTGAAACCATTGAAGCGTTGGAAAACCGAATACAACTACCTCTCGCACGCGCTCGGTGACACACCAGTATCTTGGATAGCCAACAGTACCTTGAAGGTCTGGGACTACGTATGCATCAACTCGGCTACTCAAGAGCCTATCGCAAAGCTCAGTGTGAATTGGTGGGCATTAAAACAAGTCGGAAATTTCTACTTTGACAAGACAGAAGAGGAGGTTTCAGAGAGCTTAAGAGACGAAGTTGTCATAACAGGGCTAACTTTGCTGTATGTCATGATGACGAGAATGAATAACCCGATACATCTGCTAGGTGCAGCATTTGCGAAGCCAGGGAAGGTTGAGGGCAATGAGGCTCAAGCAACAATCCTACAGGATGCTCGGGAGACGAATGGTAAACCGAAGAGCATATGAAGAGAGTCAAATGGTGGCGCATCGCACGTCATTGCTACAGCCAGGACGAGTGTGGTATGAGTTCAGTTTATGTATACCCAATGGAGTTTGTTTTAGCGTTCCATCATTCGCCAGACAGCGCCAAGTGACTCTTGATCATCCACATTGGATTGCAACAAAGAGAAGATGGTTTTCATTGATACAGCAGGACATATTCACTCAAGGCTGAGGATGCTTTTGTCTGTGTAGCAAGGGTGAATGGGTACTGAGAGAATTAGCCACTCTATCATTCATCAGCCATCGTTCCACTTTTCTTTTTCTATAAGAACACGAACAGCGCCGTTGTGAATGGAAACGCCCCAATAGTATTCTGCCAGATCAATTTGAGGCAGAAATAAACATAGCATGAGTAGAGGAGGTGATGTCATACCCCGTGTTCACGCGTCAAGCGACAACGCGTTGTACACGATCTGTAGCAAAATCAACCGCAAATTCTGACCACCATCGCTCCCATCGCATCGACATTCAGATGGTTCATCGACAGGAGGTGGAGAAGACATGGGAAACTTTCGCGATCCACATCGGTAGCCGCGATTGATTCATCATGACATCAACAGCAACACTAGTGTGGGTACCTGCATGCGATGATGGCATATGGTCTATGCTACCACCAGCTACAAAACGACCCCTCAGCACATACCCCGCCTGAAGTTTTACTTACACACCTTTCAGCTGAAATACTTCACAGTTTACAGACTTCGTAACTTAAAAACTTCAAACCTCTTGCTACTTTCCAGACCAATCCAAACAGACTACATATCAAGATGCCTCGCATGGTCGCACCCCCGCCGTCTGGAGAGTTCCAGATCGTTCTTAGCAAGCCTTTCAATGGTGAGTTCTTCGGTTCAACATATGCAGTCTCTCACTTACGAGACGTACAGGCGCACCAACACACATGATCGAGGTTATCGGCGAGCCCAACCGCCCAGCTAGCATTCGCATGTCCAACTACAACGGTAACTCCAAGTCATCAGAAAAGAAGGGTGATGTACCACAGTACGTTTTCCACAGTCGCCTCCAGTTCATTCTGTCGTTACTAAGACCCTTGGCAGAGACGATGTTAAGGAGCTCATGTCTCTCATCTCCACACTACGCGGCTTCCCTTCACACCCAAGCAAGGACGTCTACGGCCTAGACACCAAGGTTGACTTCAACACAATGGAGATCCAATGGGGCAACCAGGACGACGATGCTGCCATGGATGGTGGTGACCTTGCCGGAGAGCAGAAAGATGAATTCAAGAGGATCGCAGATAGCATTGAGGCGTTGGCAAGGCAATTCGCCAAGCAGGACTCTCCTGTATAAAATGGGCAGGGAATGTCGAGTGATACCTTTACAAAGAGATGATGTCATGACCAACAAATGAATGAAAACAAATCTCCTTCCATCGTGCTGGTCGTCTTTGTAAACATTGTGAGCTTGGGTATTTCCGCCTACATGTGCTTGTCGTAGCAAAACATCGTTGAATTACGCTCGCACGTTTGTCTCCATAACCAAAATAACGCCATATCTACTGCGTAACAGCAAAATCGATGATCATCGCTTCATATCCACATTGGATCATGCATCTATACTTATGTCTAGCTCTCTAGATCTTGTATACGATACCTCCAGAGTACATGATCTTGTTCCTCTCGCTGAGCGCTTCAAGTGCCTTCTCTGCCTCAGCTTCCTCAAATGCTTCGCGCCCGTTACCGCCACCAAGTCTGGCATTTACAGCAGCAACCAGTGGTTCCACATCTGCAGCATCGTTCGCAAATAGTGGCCCATCGATAAGTTGACCAAGTGCTGTTTGAAACACTTGCAGACGTGCCGGCGTGATGTCCTGGGATTCTTGCGATTCAGTTTGTGTGGCTGGTAGCTGGGATTCGGGGTGTGAAGATGCGGCGCTGACTTGTGATGATGCGCCAGCGCGGGACGACTGTGTACGATTGGTTGTGCGCTGAGTCTTCGGCGTAGCGTTGTAAAGGTCTTCGTTGTCGTCGTCTTCTCCACCATCCTCTTCGGCTGCGGGGGTGCGTGTAGTGCCCGTACGCGTGTTACGAGTAGATGGCCCACCCGTGCGGCGAGATTGTGTGGCCTCTTGCTCGTCACCGTCTTCATCATCATCATCACCGGATGACTCTCCGTCCGTGGACATGGCATCTGGGTCACGGACTGTTCGTCTTCGCTTGCGGCGGTCGTCCTCGACAACTTCCTTGAACAGCGCGAAACGGAGAATTTGTTCCGCGACCTCTGCATCCTTCTGCTCTACTCGCTTTGACAGACGAGCTTTTGCGTGTGCAGTGGAAAGACGAATGAGTGTTTCGAGAGTACGCGCTGTGATAGGTGAAGTGCGGCGGGTACCAGCATCCAGCTCGTCGTTCCGCAGTGCAGAGTAGGTTGCTACGATGTGATCGGCTGCACCCTTGGTAAGGATTGGTTTCTCGCGTTTAGCATATTGGATGTACTTTTTGATAAAAGGTATGCTGAGGACCTCGGTCCTTCGGTTCGCCCCACGTCCAACTGTGATTGTGACACCGGAATGCAGCATGGGATTGAACTTCTCGTAAACTTCCGTTGGACGGTTGGCATCAGCATCAGTGTCGAGACCGACACCCAAGAGCTGAGCTCCCTCCTCTCGGACTGGTGCACCCTCCTCGGTGCCAGGCTGACGGTATCGATGCATGCGGAGGACGTGCTCAGAAACCTGCCTGTCGCGTGCGTCTTCGATGTCGTCGGTAACGACGAAAAGCAGATCGAAACGCGATAAAAGAGAATCTGGAAGAGCAATGTTGCGATGAGGGTCTTTGTGAATGTCGTATTGACCGAAAATGGGGTTGGCAGCTGCGACGACGCTGCATCGGGCATTGAGCGAGGTATGGATACCGGCTTTGGCAATGGTCACGGTCTGTTGCTCCATGACTTCGTGAATAGCTACACGGTCAACATCAGACATCTTGTCAAACTCATCAATACAGACAACACCACGGTCAGCAAGAACCATGGCACCAGCCTCAAGACGACGCTCGCCTGTCTCCTTGTCTGAAGTGACGGCAGCTGTGAGACCAACGCCGGACGAGCCACGACCAGTGGTGGCGATGGCGAGTGGGGCGGTATTCAGCACGAATCGCAGAAGTTGCGATTTAGCAGTCGAGGGGTCACCAACCATGAGAATGTTGATGTCTCCTCTCAGATGGGTGCCGTTCTCAAGGTTCTTTTCTTGTCCTCCCAGAAGAAGCAAAAGAATTGCCTTTTTGATGTAGTCGTGTCCGTAAATGGAGGGGGCGAGTGACTGCGATAGCAACTCGAATACGCGCCTGTTTTTGGATATCTTGTTGATGTTGCGGATATCGGTGTCGGTAATGGAAACCTGAGCGATGCCGCCACCGGACTTGGAAGAGAGAAGGATAACATTGTTTGCCAGGATCAGTGTGCGAAAGGTCGAGCTGCCAGCACCAGCGTTGCGGTTACCGAGTGAGCGATATATTCCGACAAGCTGTATGCGGTCGCCAGGCTTGACGCGATCGACGAGGTCGTCGTCTAAGATGACATCAACCGAACGCGGCAGCTGTCCAGCAGGCGCACGCTCGGGCATCTCCTGGATGGAGATGGTCTGATGGTCGCGGTAGATGCAGTAGCCGTACTCGGTGACAAGTGGATTCCCCTCGCCATCGTCTGTCGGATAGACGCTGGTGCTCGCCGCACCGGTAGTCATGGTCTGGTCTCTGTACTCGCGCGAGTGGAACTTCTGCTTGTTCTCGTTGTAGTGGACGCTCTTGACCACCTTTGGCCGCACTAGGGAGGTTTTTGTGACGATGCCCTCGAGCGACACCATGTGGTTCAGCTGGTTTGAGCCCAATGTACGCGGGTTACACGAGTACTCGCCGAAGCTGCCAATGTATGCGCAATAGTAGACCACGTCGTCGCTGGTCTCGGACTTTGGGCGGTCGGTGAAGGTGCGCACGACATCCTTGAGGGCGCGGTCGAAGGCTTCTGTGAATTCGAAGGGCGAGTTGAGCAGACCATCGGCCAGTTCGCGGTTATGTGAGCGGATCTCGTCTATGCTGACCTGGACACGGTGAGTACGCGCATCCTGTTCTGGCGTGCTGCACCTACTGTGAGTCTTCGGAGGCCCCGATTGAGCATCACCAGGATGTCGGGTCGGTAGCTGGAGCCGTCAGTCGGCGCCTGCCCAAGCGAACATGTGCTCCATACCTTCGCCTCGAGACATCGTCTGGGTCGAGAAACTCTTGGGCAAGTCGCACGCGCCTGCGCACCTCCTCGTCCCTGATTACCTCGGCCATGGTGTATTATGTGACTCTTGGACTAGTAAAATGCCAATCGCTGCAAAAAACTGGATCAATACAGCGTAAGCGGGGGTGGTGGCAGCGGCTATCTGAACGGGGCGTATTGTTTGTGCTGTTGCCGTGGTAAACGCTTCGAGGGGCACCAGTTTCGCGACATCAATTCGCGTCGGCGCTAGTCTCTTTCCGTCACGCGTTCCTTGCCCATTAACCATCCTCTTCCGGCCTGACAGCAGTCGACCATCACCAATCGGCAAAGCTCAAGTACTTTTTGCTCCTCTTGTTCGGTTTGTACTCGGCTTTAGCATCGCACCTGCCATCGCCCGTCTAGATTGACTCGCCAGTCCGTAGTCGCTGCCGGACCAACTCCGCTAACACCGTGAGCTCCCTTAACGGATCCTGACGTAATGGCAATGGCCGCACTTGACGTCGTCAATCCCCGTAGTATATGAGGAGCGGCTTGAGCGGTTGCGAGAAGCACAACGCAGCATTTGCACCTCACTCTCGATCATATCCTCAACACTTTATCCCAGTTGCACCACCATGGCTCCCCGTGTCTTCCTCATAACTGGATGCTCTACTGGCTTTGGCGAGGAGTTCGTCAAGGTCGTTTTGCAAAAGGGTGACTATGTTGTCGCAACTGCGCGCAACTCTTCCAAACTATCCTTCGATGGTGCCAACGACTCCAACAGTCTGCTTGTGGACCTCGATGTAACAAAGAGAGAATCCATCGACAATGCCTTCGACGCGGCTATTAAGAAATTCGGAAAAATCGACGTTGTTTGCAACAATGCCGGATACGGTCTCAATGGGCCTTTTGAAACGTTGTCGGAAAAGCAAATCAGACAGCAGATGGAGATCAACTTTTTCGGTCTCATCGATGTCACAAGGAAGGCCATGGAGACTATGCGCGACAGGAAGACCGGAGGTGTCATCCAGCAAGTAACATCTATTGGTGGTCAGATTGGTAAGCCTAATGCCTTTGATATTTGGATTCGCAGCTGATGCGCACTAGGCGTGCCTAATTTCTCCATCTACTGTGCCAGCAAATGGGCAGTCGAAGGATTCACAGAGGCAATCTCCAAAGAAGTGAAGCCTGAGTGGGGAATAAAGTTCACTTGCATCGAACCCGGTGGTTTCCGAACCGACTGGTCAGGTCGTAGTATGGACTTTGGAGAGATCTCAAACCCGGCATACGCGGACGTCGACCCAAAGAAGCAGGCTCAAGGGCGCCATGGCTCCCAAGCAGGAGGTTCGTTGTCGTGAATCCTCTATAAATCGAACGAAAACTGACAAGCTTTTTAAAGATCCCGCCAAGGCTGCCAAGGTCTTCTACGATCTAGCAGTCATGGACGATCCGCCTATGCGGTGCGTAGTCGGCACCGACGCATACAGTCTCATCAACAAGAAGCTGGATACGTACAATGAAAGCGTCAAGAAGTTCGACAAATGGAGTAACAGCACCGACGTCGAAGGTTACAAGGCGCCCAATTAGTTTTTGGCAAGCAACAGGCAAGATGGGAGAAAAACTCCGAAAGAAGCAGGTAGACAAACGTGTGGTTCTCGTGCGGAGCCTTTGCACGACCTTCGCCGTACAATGAGATTTGTCACAGTCAACTTCACCGCGTTCGCAAATCTCTGCGGTGGCCTTCAACTTCATCACCGACATCATTGTTTCCGACCCACTGATATATGCAGCACTTTGCTTTTGAGGAGCATGGCTTTGTGTTTCGACTGTTGAATGCAGAGTGGAAGACAGTAGCTTCAAGATGGCGTACCGTCACACAGCCCCAATGTTGTGGCGGTTGCCACGTTGCGCCCGATCAGAGGGTTTGACTCAAGTCTGATACTTCTCGATGCGACTACACAGCATACTAATATAGATCAGCGGTGTCATAGTCGAAACCTTGGAATCTCCATGTGGCACTACCAGCATCGCGGAGTAAATGAAATATTTGGCGTACGTTTGACTGTAATAGCGGACACCGGATCTGGTCGTGTAACGTTTCACTCGAGCTTCGATACCACAGAGGGCAACAACTCGAAAATAGTTCGATGAGCATGCACCCGATGCAGAATACTCAGACGAAAAGCAATCGCTGACATCACTGGTACTACTCGAGCGGTACATCCACCAGCAGTATTGCAAAACCGCTATGGCATCGGCACTCCACGCATCCGAATATGTTCACGATCCTATGAATATCGCGTACCTACAGGTAATAAATCTGCGGCGTTTAAACAGGCACAAGCTCGACGATGTCATACGACTCTCTTCATGAGCTCTTGCTCGGACGGGGCTTTGTTGCCTGCCTAGCCTCTACTTGCTATTGCTCTTCTCACCGCCGCACATACGAGGCCGAAATCCGGGGCTTGCACGGAGCGTCTGACCCTCTCCTAGCTCTGGAATTATGTCGCATGACGAATTTCCGAGCGCTTCCCTGAATGAAAGGCAGAGGTGGGGGTTTGCACAAGAGCGTTCGTGGCCAATCCTTGCGTACATTATACAGATCTTACCACTTCTTTAGTCACGAGAGGTGCGGGTCTTACAACAGATCCTATCATACTCATGAATTCCGAGCGCCGTGTCATAGGCTTTGGCGTCAGCTGTTTATTGTGGTTGCAAACGAACACTGTTGTCGACTTCTAGTGACAATTCATAACCCCTGACGCCTTTCACGCTCCATCTGTATGAAATCTGCGATCGATTAAACGCCTTTGATACACATTCATCTTCCTTTGGTTTTCTCACTGATTATCAATATTTGACCATGAGGAGCGTCGGAACCACCATCCGGGACTCGGGCCCAGTGAGGTTCACCACCGCATTACTTACTGCGATACTCATCACCAGCGCTACCTTTCTACCACTCCTCGCTCGCGAAGCTGCTGCAAACCCAATTCCAGCGCCGCGACCACACCCTAACGCTGGACCAGGACCACAGGCATATCCAGATCCACAAGCTGGCAGTCCGACAGTTGATGGTTTGTACCCAGATCCAGAACCATGTCGTGGCAACTGCACATGGATCCACGATCCTAGCATCTTGTACGAAGACGGTAAATACTGGCGTTTCTCGACCAGTGGAAACATCGCTATTGCGACTGCACCTTCACTAGAAGGCCCTTGGCGCTATGAAGGCGCTTTGTTGCATAACGGTACGAGTATAATGGTCCACCCAGAACAGGATATCTGGGTACGTTCGCTCCTCCAAGATGTCTTGCATTGATGTGTTGAGCGCCTTTCTGATAGACGCGAACAGGCACCTTCAGTGACGAAGCGAGGAGACACTTACTACTGTCACTACTCTGTATCCCGTATCGGTCTCCAGAACTCGTCTATCGGTGTGGCGACATCGCTGTCCCTTAAGCCAGGTAGCTGGCAAGACCACGGTGATATCGGTCTCCCCCTATCTCACAAGTACAACTTGATCGACCCCTTTGTGTACCAAGAGACCCCCAATGACCCAATTTACTTCACCTTTGGATCTTTCTGGGACGACATCTTCCAAGTTGAGCTATTCCCCTACGATGACCTTATAGCTTTTGGTAGGTGGGCCGCGGACAACAATCGTATCAATAACTTGGTGCGCAATGGTACTATCGGCGCCGGAGTCTCTGAAGGTGCTATCATGCACAAAGAAAAGAACTTCTACTATATATTCTACAGTGTTGGTCAGTGCTGCAACAAGCCATCAGACAAGGACGGTCTTGCACCGGAAGGTCAAGTGTACCACGTTGTCGTCTGCCGCTCGGAAGCCCCAACCGGACCCTTTTATGACCGAGAGGGCAAGAGTTGTCTCGAAGAGAATGGTGGTACTACGATCCTCGCCAGTCATGGCGATATCTATGCGCCTGGTGGTCAGGGTGTCATGGCGCACCCTGATAATGGGAGGACGGTGATGTATTATCATTATGGTATGCGGAAGAGTGGACGTGATACACGAAACCTGAGCTGACGTTGACGCAGTCCGCCAGAGTGTAGGCTACGAGGCCGATCAGTTCTTCTTTGGTTACAACTACCTCGACTGGGAGGACGGATGGCCGGTCGTTGTTGTTGCCTGATCGACTGGTGTTCTGCAAGGACTTTCGGCAGTATCTTGACCTACCTTTGGTTTATCCCAGGTACGTCATACAGCGCCGAAGCTTATTCAATTGCTTCGTGTTACGAGCCTGCGTTCTTTTATTTGGGTCTTGCTTTCGTTCGCTTGGAGAGGCGCGTTATAGTGATGGTTCATGGGATGGCGTTCCCATGATCCACGCTCTACGTACTTACGATTAAGACTGTTCCGGAAGTAATGGTGAACAAGCGTTGTCATAGGGTCTGATTTACTGGAGGGTATCGGCGAACCACCTGTCCACGAGTACGACTACAGTTGTACATAGTAAGTCTGCGTTGTCAATATTTAACACTTTGGTAATACTTGGGTCATAGCTCGTGGGTAACGTCTGATGTGTTCTTATTCTGGCTATGAAACGATCGCCGTATTGGTAGTCCCCATAACCAATCCTACGTTGTTATCAAATATGATTGTTGTTCATTTGCGTAATCATATTGACCATGATGCCATGATGCTTGACAAAAAGAAACTGCGCTCATAATCGCTCCACACCAAGCACACGATCACGTTGATCGGGCCACGCAAGCAACTTCTGATGACATTCTGTCAAAGCTTGTAGTCTCACAGACTTTTCTCTCAGATGATGCGCCGCATTTTAGGCCTTCTCGCCAATAATGTAGCGTGCATGCGCCTAGTTTCGGAAGTGGTGGCTGGTGGAAGGAATCAGCCGGGAGGGCCGAATACGCGGGGTAGGGGTATTCTCATTATCTGGGAAACAACTCATGGATCTGATCATGCTGTTTGCTTTTGCTGAGATGAGCTTCTTGGAACAACCCGTCATATATCTCATCGCGGATATCGCATTGATTCCGTAACGTCGCGAATCGCGGATTGTAACCTCAGACGCGATGGATGCTTGAGGGAGGTGCATGAATGTTGTTCCTGAACATGGCTAGTCTCTGGTGACGTCACCAATCGGTCTCTCCGGCTGAGATCGCACCTTGCCTATTTACCTGCCAAGTACTCCACAGTGAATACAGGTTATTCCATTCCTGCGGGTCAGTACAAGACCTGTGCACGCGACTGATCGCCTCTACGTCGCCTACGCCTCACTCCTCAGCCTCTCCATCTCTCCAGCCTCATCATCACTATTGTTACCCCGCGCGATTGCTGATCGCTGCGCACGGCCGTCAAGATGCCCTCTCAAGAGAAGGGCCTTAAGAAGCTCTTTCACCCCTTCAACCATCGCGCCTCTGAAAAGATAGAGGAGATCGAGCAGAAACTTGAGCACACCAAACTGCGAGGTGCGCATATCAAGGCCGTGCATGTGAAGCATAAGATTGGCAAATTTACCAACCTCTTCAACGCCAATCATCGCCATGACGAAGAGCATGAGAAGCAAACAGATGCGAAGAGGAGTAAGATTGCAGAGAACCACCGGTTCCAGAGTTTTGCACCGGAGCGAGATGGTAACTTAGTGAAGTGGTATGTAGATGGCAGGGACTACTTCTGGGCCGTTGCCGAGGCATTGGAGCAGGCCAAAGAGACTATTTACATCGCAGACTGGTGGCTCAGCCCTGAGCTCTTCCTAAAGCGACCGCCTTACTACAATCAGCATTTTCGGTTGGACCAGGTGCTCAAGCGACGCGCCGCGGCTGGTGTGAAGATCTATATTTCCGTGTACAAGGAGGTAAGGTCGTCAATTAGCAGCAGATATTCATCAACTTATATTGAACAGGTTTCTGCAGCCCTCACGTGCAACAGCCAGCATACCAAGAAAGCACTGATGGGTCTCATTGACGAGGGTGAACCTGGATACGGAAACATCAAGGTAATGAGACATCCCGATCACAATGTCTTCGAGAACGCCTCAGATATGACATTCTATTGGGCACATCACGAAAAGTTTATTGTCATCGACTATGCTATGGCCTTTATTGGTGGACTGGACTTGTGTTACGGACGATGGGACGAGAAGCAACATCCGCTTTCCGATGCGCACCCCTCTGGTGTACAAAATCAGATCTTCCCTGGTCAGGATTACAACAACAACCGTATCATGGATTTTGAGAGTGTTCAGGATTGGAAATCCAACAAGCTGAACAAGCTCGAGTACGGTCGCATGCCATGGCACGACGTAGCCATGGGCGTTATCGGTCCGGCGGTGTACGACATTGCGGAACATTTCGTCCTGCGATGGAACTTTGTGAAGCGAGAAAAGTACAAGCGTGACGAAAGATATGACTGGCTTACCATGGAAGGTCGAGAAGGAGCTGACGAAGATCTGATCGGAGTGCAGAGGCCCAAGTTTCCTGTGGGTGAATACGTGCACCATCCCATCACTCAGCTGAAAAGCAAAAATCTCGACAATCGCGGTACCGTACATGCACAATTAGTCCGAAGTAGCGGAGACTGGAGCATGGGTATCGATCCCCATGAGCACAGTATCCAGAACGCATACTGCGAGCTCATCCGTAACGCGAAACACTATGTTTACATTGAGAATCAATTCTTCATCACGGCGACGGGAAAAAATGATACGAACCCTGTCCATAACCAGATTGGAGCTGCGATGGTTGATGCAGTGGTTTCAGCAGCCAAGGAGCAGCGCAACTTCAGACTGATCATTGTCATCCCGGCTATTCCAGGATTCGCAGGAGACCTGCGAGATCAAGCTGCTGCCGGCACACGCGCCATCATGGATTATCAATTCAAGAGCATCTGTAGAGGGGATGAAAGCATCTTCGGAAGAGTCAAAGCGGCCGGTGTCGACCCCGAAAAGTACATCTTCTTTTTCAACCTCCGTTCGTATGACCGCATTAATGTCACACCCACGCTTAAGGAGCGTGAGAAGAAGTCCGGCATGACGTACATGGAGCTTGAAGCAGCTGAAATCGATGAGCTGGAAGCATCACCGGAGGAAGGAGGAGAGGAGGCACGTCGTAAAGCGGCTGAGTTGAGGAAGGCATATATGAGCGAGTCTGAGGACATAGGCAAAGGTGACCAGGGCGGTGTCATTGATCCTGATTCGATTGCCGACGACGCCATGCTCACGGAAAAGAAGCCCAGCGAAGAAGATTGGGAAGGTGAAGAGGAAGACGAAAAGGAGCACTTCTTCCAAGAGGAGCTCTACATCCACGCCAAAATCTGCATCGTTGATGACAGGACCGTTATCTGCGGTTCTTCCAACATCAATGACCGCTCCCAATTAGGCTTCCATGATTCAGAACTCTCGATTGTCTTGCAGGATACGGACGAGATCGATACGGAGATGGATGGCAAGCCTTACAAAGCTGCACGCCTTGCCCATCAACTTCGCAGCAGCTTATGGCGCGAACATCTCGGCCTACTCCCACCTCAGTCCCTCAATGCTGCAGATGACCCCAACGCGCAACCGCCTGGCGAGAAATCGCCGAACGATCCCATGCCCGGCCCCGAAGCTGACTTTGTCTCCGATCCCTTGTCACCTAAACTATGGGACGAGTGGACCGAGCGCGCAACCACCAATACAGAGGTGTTCAGGTCCTTGTTCCACGCCGATCCCGATGACAGTATCCTTACGTTCGAAGACTATGATAAGTTTACCCCTAATCCTTCGGGCGATAAGGAGCATAAGCAGGGGCACTTGTACGACATGGTCAGGCCTGTCAAGGAGATTAGAGCGGAACTAGATCGTGTGAAGGGGCATCTAGTGTGGATGCAGTTGAAGTTCCTTGAGAATGCTGATATGGCTGAACGGGGACTGCAGGTGAACTCCTTTACGGAAAGTGTTTACACATAAAGCGGGGTCGACAATTCATGGTATGGTGAATGCTTGCCGGATATCTTTAGTCCTCAACACTGAAGCTAGTGGACTACTCGCATGGGTGTGTTAGTTTGATTTTCTTCCCTTCTTCATGATTCCCTGTTACGTTTCATCAACGCCGTTATGATCTGAATGTATCTTTCTTTGTCCTTAGTCTTGCGGAGTGCGATCGAGAGGATTCTGATGGCGAGTATCGTGCGCTGAATATCATTATCAAGATGCAATATACTGTGTCTGCTGCCGTTTACACTGTGCACACAGATCGAAGTTGAGACGCGCCGCGAGAGACGAGGAATGCAGAACTATCACTAAGTTTTTATTGTCGTGCTTGAACTACCATAGAGATCGACAGCTCGATAAGTTGACACCAAATAGACAAGTGAAGTAATTGAATTTTCCCAAGATGTATTATATCATGCTGGAATCGCACAAGGATTTTTGTTGTATCCTCCAGCTCTACTTTTCTAACACCCAAGTGCCGATACGAACACTCTCAATCTTCTACACCTTCATCACTATCACTACCTCCTTGTTCCTCTCTCGCCCCCACCTCCTCATCGTCAGTCTCCCAAGCCAAATCCCCCTGAAAATCTCTTTCACTTTCATCTGTCACAAACAATGGACTCTCTGTCTTCTCGGTCACGAACCGTCCAAAAGAATCCTGCGAACGCGCAACAGACACACGACCCTCTTCTTCGAGCCCTTCCTGATCTTGCTTTCCTCCTTGCCATTGTTGCCTTCGTGGTGAATACTGGCTCACTTCCGAAGAAACATCAAAAAAGTTGTCAAAGTCGAAGGATTCCAGCGAACTCTCATCGGATGCGCGCTCTCCTGGCCCTGATACTTCTTGCTCTGGTTGGTCTTCACGTAACATGATCCTCTCCGCAATTGGTAGGGATCTGAAACCTGGAAAGGGATCACTGTAACGCTGAGCGTGTGACCGTGGTCGAGGCTGGGCAGGACGTAACGGGATGAAGATGTATGGGACAGAAAAATACTTAGTACTATAGTGTGAAGTAGGAATTGGTGGGCCGATAGAGTACACGACTGTCGAATTCGTGTTTCGACGTTGCATGGCTGCTCGACGAACGGCTAGAGGAGGCTGTAGAGGAGCTGGTGGTGGTGGTGGTACGGGAGTAGGGGCAGGACTGAAAGCTTCCAACAATGGATGAGCTGGTGGATTTCCCACGATGGGAAAC